AAAAAAAAAAAAAAAAGAAGAAGAAGAAGAAAAGAAAAAAGTGAGGTACATACAGGCCAAAGAATCAAAACTGTTGACCCAGGCCAACTATAGAGGTATCAAACACAAGAATACTTGAGCATTTACTAAACATCTATGTACTTGGTTTCTAACCAGGCAGTGAGAACGAAAACCACAAACCAACAGCCAGTTTAAGTATTGTGTGTTTGTAATCCTACCTCCTCAGGAGGCTGAGGAAGGAGGATTGCTTGAGGCCAAGGGGTTTGAGACCAGTCTGGGTATCATAGTGAGACCACCCATAACTACAAAAAAAAAAATAGTTAGGTGTGGTAGTATGCACCTATACTCCTAGTTACTTGGGAGGGTGAGGCTGGGAGAATCACTTGAGCCTAGGAACTTAAGGCTGCAGTGAACTATGGTCATACCACTGTGTACCAGCCTGGGCAACAGACTGAGACCTAAGACCCCATCTCTTTAAAAAAAAGTTTGGCTCGATGCCCATAGCACAGTGGTTACAGTGCCAGCCACATGCACCAAGGGTGGCAGGTTCAAACCTGGCCCAGGGCAACTAAACAACTGCAACAAAAAAAATAGCCAGGTGTTGTGGCGCATGCCTGTAGTCCCAGCTACTTGGGAGGCTGAGGCAAGAGAATTACTTCAGCCCAAGAGTTAGAAGTTGCTGTGAGTTGTGACGCCACCGCACTCTACCGAGGGCGACATAATGAGACTCTGTCTCAAAAAAAAAAAGAACCCAGGCTGACCCTAGACTCTTTCCAACCTCAGTTCTGTACACACCTATATACCCTGAAGTAAACCCACTAAATGAGTGCCCCCTGCCCCCAACACAACATGAATTGCTAAGGTCTTCTTCTCCTCACCTGGCTGTTCATACTCCACTAAACCACAGCAATTTTCCTATAATTTTTTCCAATTTTGACACAGTTCATGCGTGCCCATTGAGAACTTTATTCTCCTGCTGTGTATTTGATTAGCTCTTCCTGTGAGATGGATCCCCCACTATCTCTTGAGGTTCTCTTAGGACTCTCAGAGCTGAGTCTGCTGTACCCTTTCATCTTCACCCCCCGCCCCATGCCCCTTAGGTGCCTACACCAGAGAGTGCTGCACCCTGAATAAGACTCCGATGGATGCTGCTTACATAAATACATTCCCACATTGTGGTAAGCTAGAAAAGGCAAATTATAGCAACTTTGTTTATTTTGTTTTTTAAGATTTCCCAAAACTTGCTCACTTGGCTGATCTAATGAACATTTGTACCAAATAATAGGCAAAACTATCAATAGAAGCAAAGTGCCTCCTATTTCCTTCCTGTGATTCATCCCCATGGGACCAATTTAAGAAAAAATAAGGCAGAACCTTGTGTTCAACACCAAAGGCTGAAGAGGCTGGTGGGAAAAGGGACTCTTTCACCACGTGCCAGAATCTTCTTCCTCTCTCCTCATCCTTCCCAGGACGCACAGAAAGAGCTATCCACAGCCAGCCCCAGAGATCCACTGAGCTGGGAAGTACACTGCCAAGAAAGAACCCAAATGACCTGCTGTGGGTGGACTTGGCTTCCAATATCTCTCTCCAAGGTCAGAGAAATGCCTGTTCCTCCAAGCGGCCTGTTGCTCATCCCCGCAGAAAACAGTTTTAATCTGTTGATAATTTTTTTGTCCCACATGTTGGTGGAGAAAATGAGCACCATTCCCTAAATTTACCACTCACTAAGTTAAAATATCATTTTTTTATTTTTAAGATGTTTGAGTTATGGGTGGCACCTGTGGCTCAGTGAGTAGGGCACTGGCCCCATATACTGAGGGTGGTGGGTTCAAACCCAGCCCTGGTCAAACTGCAACAAAAAAATAGCCAGGCACTGTGGCAGGTGCCTGTAGTCCCAGCTACTTGGGAGGCTGAGGCAAGAGAATTACCTAAGCCCAGAAGTTGGCGGGTGCTGTGAGCTGTGATGCCATGGCATTCTACCCAGGGAGACAGCTTGAGGCTTCTGTCTCAAAAAAAAAAAAAAAAAAAATAAGAGATTGCAGTGTGATGATTCTGTTTTCCAGTAACACTGCATGTGTATATGCACACAAGAATTCTGGGAAGAAGTAGCATATTGAGAATAGGGTCTTATTGTTCATACTATATTATAGTTAATTATCATTCTATGGTTGTGCTAGATATCAAAATTAGGGAAGCCAGGGGAAGGGTAGCCAGAACTCTCTGAACTACTTTTGGAATTTTTCTATGAGCCCCAAGTGATTTCAAAAAGAAAAGTTTTTTAAAAAACAATCATTTGTAGGATGATAATTAACAGCAGCATACATCTGTTTTTCTTGGTGTTTTATATATACTAATCCACTAATAACTAATGTGAGCTCTAGGGTTCATACATAGCCTTGGCACTGTTGACATTTGGGGCTGGATCATTCTGTGTGGTTAGGGTCATCCTGTGCTTTGTAGGATTTTGAGCAGCGTCCCAGTAGATGCCTGTATCAGTCCCTCACCACACACACATACAGTTGAGAAAACCAAAAATGTCTCTAAACATTGCCAACTGTCCCCTGGGGGACAAAATCCCCTCTCCCACCCAGTTAAGAACCACAGCTCTAAAGCTGTGGTACCCAATGAGTATTGGTCCATGCATGGGAGTGGGCAGCTCGATCTGTATCTATGGCTGCTCCCCATCAGTCACATCACTGTCTGAGCTTGCCTCCTGGCAGATCTCCCTCCACCCCCACCCCATCCATGGAAAAACTGTCTCCCATGAAACTGGTCCCTGGTGCCAAAAAAGCTGGGGACTACTGCTCTAAAGGAAAGAGCAGCTGCTTGTATTATCCCCCCATTTACAAAAGGGGGAAACTGAGGCACAGAGTAATTCATCCACTATCAAACAGTAAGCAGGAGAGTTGGGTTTGAAGCCCCACAGTTAAATAGTCAGCCACAAGCCAGTAGCTTTGTAGCACATCAGACCCATTCACTGAAGCCTGGGGGGAAGGGATATCTATCTAAAGCTGTGGGATCCCACCAGGGACTGGCAGAAGCGCCAGAAAATTTTTACTTTTTCCTATATGTCCTTCTCTGTAATTTCTACTTTTCTTTCTAGCATGTATTAAATCCTTGTTTTCCTTTAAGGAGTTTGGGGTGTCCCGTTAGCCATTTTTGCAATAAATAAACCCTCATTCCTTCCGTAAGCACAAACACCTCTCAAGAGTCAACTTGAATGAACAAAATACCTGGGATCCGAAGCTTCTTCTTCTTGCTCATTTTAACTGTTTCTTTAGGAATCTGAAAACAAGCAAAATCTCCCATCATTTTAAGCAGTGCCTGTCAGTACCCAGTGGCCTTGGCTGAGGGTAGAGGTTACCCTCCACCTCCACCTTGGCCCATCTGGCTGCCCCAAGAGGTCAGATGGGCTCCAATAGGACACAGGGTGGAACACAGGATCAGAGCCACCTTGAGCCATGACCAGGTAGGAATTCAAACCTTCTCCACCTCGCAGAGAGGGGATTGTCCGTCTTTTGCCCAGGGTCTGAGAGCCACGTGGGCTCTGGTCCCTGGATTGAAGCCCCTCCCCTCTAGGTTGGGGTATGTGGGCCCCTTCCAGGGACACTTTTTTGTTTTTCTGAGATAGAGTCTCTGTCACCCAGGCTAGAGTGCTGTGGTGTCATGATTCACAGCAATCCTCTTGCCACAGCTTTCCAAGTAGCTGAGATTACAGGCATGCAGAACAATGCCCAGCTAGTTTTTTCCATTTTTCCTAGTGAAGGGGTCTCGCTCTTGCTCAGGCTGGTCTTGAACTCCTGAGCTCAGGCGATCCACCTGCCTCGGCCTCCCAGAGTGCTAGGATTACAGGTGTGAGACACCACACCAGGCCCCACTTGAAGTCTTTCCAGCAGCCATGTGGGGCCCTTCAAGGTTTGGAGTCTTTAGAGGGGTCATCTGGGGCCCTTCCAGGGACAGCCAGGGCCTTCGGGGGTAGGAATTACCACAGGCCAATTTTTTTTTTTTTTTGAGACGGAGCCTCAAGCTATCCCCCTGGGTAGAGTGCCATGGCATCACAGCTCACAGCAACCTCCAACTCCTGGGCTCAAGCGAGTCTCCTGCCTCAGCCTCCCAAGTAGCTGGGACTACAGGTGCCCGCCACAACGCCCGGCTATTTTTTTTTTTGGTTGCAGCCATCATTGTTGTTTGGCGGGTCCGGGCTGGGGATTCGAACCTGCCACCTTAGGTGTATGTGGCTGGCGCCTTAGCCGCTTGAGCCACAGGCGCCGAGCCCACAGGCCAATTTTTTCCAGCGTTGGGGGCCAGACAAACCAAAACTGCCCTGCGTCACATAAGTTCTTAAAATCTCTCTGTCCTTATCAGAACCAAAGTCTGTCTGGACTTGTTAGGAAATAAGTCGCTTACATTATTTGCCTTACACTCTTTTGAAAAAATAAAAGACTAAGTTGGTCTTCGCGGAAGCTTGGGCTGAGAGTCCGGAGCTGAAGGAGGCCAGAAGCCTAGGTGCTGCGGCCTCAGCTTCTGGGGTGACCAGCTGCCGACTAACACAACCCTGGCAATCGAAAAGTCTGGTTCTTAGGCTGGGAGCCTAGGTGAGCCCGGAGCCCGTGAGTGACGGCGAGACGCTGCCAACTACAGAGCGAACACCAGCCCTCACAGCTGCGCGCGATGCACCTCTTTCCCGCGTCTCGCGAAGCCACGCCCCGCGCACGCGCAATACCAGGACTGTTCATCACACCCGCGCACGCCCCGCCCCTTTCCCCCTGCCTCAACCAGCCACACCCCCGCCAGACGTGAGCGTTTATGCGCAGTGTCTGCCGGGAGTTGTAGTTTCGGTGCGGCAGGCCCGGCAAGTCCAGTGGCCTCGCTCAGGTAGAGAGGCGACCGGAGGCCAAGGCGGAAGTGAGGCGGCTAACCTGGGAGGGGAGGACACAGGGTTGGCAGTCGCTGGGCGCTGAAGAGGGGCGCAGGGCTCGGGAAGGGCGCGTGCGTCGCGACAGGCCCCGGAGGAGGAGGCAGGGAAAGGCCGGGCGCCGGGGTCGACGGTCCGGGGATCCAGCCTGGAAGATGCACAGGAGGAAGGGACCTCCGGGACCCCCAGGCCGAGGCGCTGTCGCCGCCCGCCAGGTGAGACTGCGTCCCACGGCCCCACTGGGGGGATACCTCCCAATCCCCGCCATATGCTCGGGGCAGGCCCCACAACCTGGAAAGCCCGATCTCCGCCCCACTAAGTGAGACCCTGTCCCCGCCTCCCAAATGAGGCTCCGCCCCCCAATGGTTGGGCCTGCTGGCCTAGACACCTTCAGCACTTGGCGCACACAGCCCCGGGTTGGGGCCACCTGTTGAAGCAGCAGTTCCAGTGGGGAAGAGAAGGGAGGGGCAGCCCTCGGACCAGGTTTGTCAAACGCTTGCATTAGATGGACAATGTCAGACTCCTTTTATTCCCATTGTACATATGAGGACACTGAGGCTCAGAGAGGTGAAGATGTCTGCCCAAGGTGATAAGGACTAACAGCTTCTCTAGAGCTAAATGCAAATCCAGAACTGCAGCTGTGAACTCACGAGCCCGTGCCACAGCCCCTTCTCACTCTCCCTTCTCACTCTCCCAACTCCTCTGCCCCCTGGGGCAGGAGGAAAGAGACATTTGATTTTTTTAGCTCTGGCAGAAGTAGCTCAGGGCATAGCTTAGTGTTAGGTACTCCAGCTTGGCTGACCTGAAGTTCTCTTCTGGCCTCTGGACTTTGGACACTTGATTTCACAGCTCTGAGCCTCAGTTTTCTCATCTGTAAAATGGAGACCTCTTAGGGACCCCACCTCACAGGACAGTCATGAAGATTCATTGAAATAGTTTATGGAAGGCACTAGAACATAGCACTCATTAAATGTCATCATTATCATGAATAAGTGGGGCCATATATAATTGCCAATCTTTGACCATTTTTGACTAAAGGGCAACTTCATATAGTTCAACATAGTATTAGTATGTCATAATTGGTCATTAACCAAGATAGAATGACAGGTCTGCAAGGCAAAGACCCCACTTTCAACTTCTACATTGTTGTCAGGGTTTGTAATTGTTCTTGATGTCCCAGCCTTCCTGTATGGCCCCTTCTGCTGGAAGGAAAAGCCCAGGTGTGCAGAGTGGCTGTTTTGGGCAGGGTGTAGGTCCTATTTCTCCTGGTAAACTTGGCTAGCCACACATCACAGGTGTGGACTCAGAGCAGTGAGTTGGGTCTCTCTGCCCACCCTTTGCCCCATGTTGATGTGCCAGAGAGCGTGGCCCACCTTGGGACACCTGTTCTGAGCTTGCCAGCCTCCTGGCACTCCACCAGAACATGGCTTTCCCCTGGAGACTTTGGTTCCTCCCCAAGGGGCTGCTGAGTCCATGATGGCTGCCTCTGGCCAAGTGGTAAATCCCCAGGTCTGACTGGACCTTCACTCTCCCCCCAGCTGGGCCTCCTGGTTGACCTGTCCCCAGACGGCCTGATGATCCCTGAGGATGGAGTTAACAATGAGGAACTGGAGGCTGAATTCTTGGCCTTGGTGGGGGACCAGCCCCCAGCCCTGGAGAAGCTCAAAGGCAAAGGTAAGATAGTTAACACACCTCTGGACATTTTCTGATCTCCCACTGTGGGCTAGACTCAGACTGGGCACTGGGTAGATGAGGAAAATCAGAAAGATAAGATCCCTGCCTTCCTGGAGCCCAGCAACTGGTTGAGGGGGTAAGCAATCAACTCTGGACTTAGACTGGGGGGGTTCAAACTCCAGCTCTCCCACTTACTGGGTGTGTTGGTTTCAGTTTCCCTATCTGTAAAGTGGGAGCAATAATCATGCTTATATCATAGGAGTTAGTCTTCTGGAGTGCATAAGTAGTTCACACAGGAACCACCTGACATAATAAGCCTGTGTCCTCGTAAGTCAAACCTGCTGTCCCATAATCAGGTCTGGGATGGAGGAAACAGAGCCATTGGAGAGACCTGTGAGTCATTGTGGGATTGCTTAAAGAAACACCCACAATGTAGAGAGTCAGGTGAAGAGGTAGGGAGCACTTCCAGGAGGGGTCATAGCAGGTAAAACCCCCTGGAGCAGATGGCAGGGAGCAGAGATGGAGGGATCAGGTGGAGCTAAAGCCCAGAGGGCAAATGGAACCTTTAAACATTTGAGTTGGGCAACGCCTGTGGCTCAGAGGAGTGGGGCACTGGCCCCATATGCCGGAGGTGGCGGGTTCAAACCCAGCCCCAACCAAAAACTGCAATTAAAAAAATTTTTTTTGAGTTAATATAGTCAATCCTGATTATTTGTGGATTTCATATTTGTGAATTCACTACTCACTGAAATTTGTTTTTAAGCTCCAAACCAATAATAGCACACCACTTTTGTGGTCATTCACAACAGATGAGTGAAGAGGGGTGAAAAATTTGAGTGGCCTGATGTATAAGGTGTTACAAAGCTGTGCTCTGCCTTCTTTCAGCTCTTACAGCATAAGCAAAGATTCCTTTTGAGGTCTATTTAGTGCCATATTTTTCTCATTTTTATGCTTTTTCTTAGTAATTTCACTGTCAATAGTGGCTCTAGGCATAATGTGGAAATGCTGTCTAGTATTTCTAAGGGCTAGAAGACTGTAATGTACTTTATAGAGAAAATATGTGTGTTAGAAAAGCTTTCTGCCGGCTTGAGCTGTCATCCTGTTGGGTATGAATTCAAAGTTAATTAACAATGCATATATTCAAGAAGGTGTCTTTAAGCAGAAATTTACATAAAGCAAGATTGTATACTGATCAGTTGATGAAAACATTGTAACCAGAGGTTCACGTGAACCAAAACCTGAGTTTCCCCTAGGAGCAATGGTCCCATGTATTTACTAATTCAGTTTTCAAAGCAGCATTATTGAATAACAAGATGCTGACAATATGCTATTAAAAAGAACTTCATTTCCCTTTCATCCCTACCACCTACCTGTGAGGGAGGAACTGGTTATCTCCATCTAACAGATGGAGAAACTAAGGCCCAGAGAGGTAAAGTGACTTGCCAAGTGACTTGTCAAGGTCCCACAGTGAGAGTGTGACAGAGTTGGGATTCAAACTCAGGTAGCGCAGCCCTAGAACTGATGCTGCATGAGGAGGAGAAGTGAGACATAGAAGGGAAGAGGTCAACAGAGGGTGGAACCCTGCAGGGAGGACCTGAGGGTGTCCAAGCTAGGGACAGGGGTGGGATATTTAGAGGATCTTGGTCCATCTGGGGCCTCCCCTTGCTGCCAGGCCCCCTGCCCATGGAAGCCATCGAGAAGATGGCCAGACTGTGCATGAGAGACCCAGACGAGGAGGAAGAAGAGGGGACAGATGAGGATGATGTGGAGGCTGATGACGACCTGTTGGTAAGTACCCACAGCGGGATGGGAGTGGGGGTTGGGGCTCTTTGCCCACTATCCCCGTTCAGTGGATCCTCACATCCTATCCCTGATTATGTGACCCTGCAGGCGGAGTTGAATGAGGTCCTGGGAGAAGAGCAGAAGGCTTTGGAGCCCCAGCCATCAATGGCCCAGGTACAACTCTGACAACCCTGCTCCCTTGAATCAGAACCCCATGGACAGCCTAGGGTTCAAGGCCCACCCTTGTCCTTCTCTGGGATATAGTATGGCCCCTCTGACCCTGGTTTCCTCTTCTGGGAAATGGGGACCTGGATTTCTGCCCCACCGAGGTAGGGGAGGCTGGCCCAGGGGTGACACGTGGCTGATTGCTAATGTGCAAGGGGTGGGTGTCAGTGGAGTTACCATCCAGACCAAGCCCCTGGCCCTTACCACAGCCAAAGCCCTCAGCCCCCTGCCTAGGGGTCGAGGCCACTTTGCAGGAGAGGCTGGCCCTCTACCAGAGAGCAATTGAAGGTGCCAGGCAAGCTGGAGACAGTGCCAAGATGCGGCGCTACGATCGGGGGCTTAAAGTGAGTAGGCAGAAGACACGGTTCTGGGACCCCACCACCCTGAACCTCCCACACTAAGCTCACAGCTTCTCCCAACCCCACACTCATGCCTTGTCTCAGACGCTGGAGAATCTGCTGTCCTCTGTCCAGAAGGGCAACACCATTGATGAAGCAGACATCCCGCCGCCTGTGGCCATAGGAAAGAGCCTAGCAGCCATGCCCAGCCACAGCCTTGCACCCACCCAGCCAGCGCCTTCAATCCTGCCAACTCCGGAGCCCAGGGTCACCCTGGAGGGTCCTCCTCCCACCACCCCAGCTTCATCCCTAGGCTCAGCTAAGCCACAGCTGCCCCCAGGTAGGTGGTGGGCAAGGCTGGGGAATCCTCATGTCCCTGGAGTTCATGAGTACTTTCCAAGGGGGATACAGACAGAGAGGTTTTTTTGTTGCTATGGTACTACATATAACATTTACTATTTTAGGCTGGGCACAGTGGCTTATGCCTATAATCCCATCACTTTGGGAAGCCAAGTAGGAGGATCACTTGAGACCAGCCTGGGCAACATAGCAAGATCCTGTCTCTACAAAAAAATAATTTAAAAAGTCACTAGGCATGGTTGACAAGTGCCTATAGTCCCAGCTACTGGGAAGCTTAGTCAGAATGATGGCTTGAGCCCAGGAGTTTGAGGTTATAGTGAGCTATGATCACACCACTGCATTCCAGCCTGAGTGACAGAGTGAAACCCTGTCTCTAAGAAAAAAAAAAGATTGATATATATTTAGGTTTTGCTCAGTTAGATGCTAATAATAATTATAACAATAATTCAACACAGAAGAAAAATTTTTGTTTCCTTTGTTTTTGGTGGACTTTTTGTAGGAGATAGGGCTTTGCTCTGTCACCCAGGCTGGAGTGCAGTGGCTGATCAGAGCTCACTGCATTGTCAAACTCCTGGGTTCAAGTGATCCTCCCACCTCAGCCTCCCAAGTAGCTAAGATTACAGACTTGGACTACTGTGCCTAGCTAATTTTTAAAAATTTTTCTAGAGACAGAGTCTCACTATGTTGCTTAGGCTCTATAAGAAATTTTTTTTAGGCTCGGCGCCTGTGGCTCAAGCGGCTAAGGCGCCAGCCACATACACCTAAGGTGGCGGGTTTGAATCCCCAGCCC